AGTCTGCTGTGAGCATTGGGAGCAGGAAGCTTTGTGTAGAAGCAACTTTATAGTCAACTTAACTTGCTTTTGGTTCATGCTTGAAAAGCAGTTCGTTAAACTTGGAGAGGCCTGGTTTCTTCAGTACCTTCTAGAGGTTCACCACTTTGCATTTAAACTGTTGGGGTACCCCAAATTGAGGAGGGGTCCCCAGGCTGGATTCGTCACCCCAAGAATCAAGAGTCCACACGCCAGTTGATGCAACACGCAAGAGGCTTTAATTAGGCATTGCAGATGGGCCTCTCGGTCAGCTTTTAGACCGATTGGTCCCAAGGTTCAGTTACAATCAGCTTTTAAAGACAAAAACCACAAGCCTTTGGGAGGGGTCCTTATCTCGTGACGGGGGAAGGGGGTACGTGACTCCTGTCCCGGGGAAGTAGATGTCCTTCATATTGTAAATTCCTCAAACCTTGGCATGAGTTAATTATCTCTCCCTAAGTAAATAGTGTTATCTCCTTGTTTCCCACTAGTCTTGTTTGCCCTGGTCAGTTCTTCACAGATGGCAGCCCATAATTGGCTTTTTGTGGATTTACAGTCCTTCTGCAATTAAGGATGCTAAACCATACATTCCATTCTGTGGCGATTTACAGCCCTTCTGCAATTAAGGTCTCTAAACCATATATTCAATTCTGTGGTATGGCTGGTTCCTGGGATGGGGTCCTTTGTTCACTTCCCAAGTTCTCTAGTGGGGTGCCCTCCCTGTTTAAGCTTATATTTTATTTCTATAAATTCGGGGTCTTTCAAAACTTTACATATAAGGTTCATTTAATGTTAATTTTGTGGAGGTTTTAAAAAGTATCCCAAGTATTGACTTGCACACAAAACTAAGCTGTGATGTAGAAGAATAAAATTGGTAGTACAAAGGATTTACAACTGCTTAGGAGATAGTAAGTCTCGCAAAGTAGAATTTAGTTGAGGGAGGTCTGCCTCTAAAACACCTACAGATAAGTATGTGCTTACCAGGCCTCTTAGAGATTAGGATGCTAGGATTCACATATGTTCAGCAATGTCTAACACACTCCATCTTGTTGTTTTAATATACATTTCAACTTGCTTGCTAATCCTTTTAGTCCCAACTCATTTAACTGAAGCAGGTTTTGGAGTTGGATTGGCTCTCCTCATGTAAATCCAAGCATATTGTTAAAATAAGATTCAGAATTTCTGTGTTACATGAAAGAGCCATTGATATAAGACAGAAGGAAACAAAACTAGGGACTGTGGTCTCTTTATACTCAGTTCCTTTTCTGAAAGTCTAATCTCCCTCATGTTTGCTGTCTTCCTTATTGTTGGCTTTCCCAGTATGCATAAAATTTCTCTGTTAACATTAATGTTTGAGTTTTCCAGAGAGCAAGGAATTTCCTGACAGCAATGTTCAAACACTTTGGAAAGGAAATGGGGTCCTAGTTCATCAACTCCACCTGGTTGGACTGGATGCATCTGAACTGCCCCACATCATTGGATCCACCTGACTAGTACCACCCTGAAACCAGTTTGGAACTACATCACTCGGCACAACTCTTGACCAATGAATGGATATGGTACACCTGCTACAAGCTGGCTGCAGCTCCAGACAAGAGCTTCAATCAATATTAGAACGTCTGTCAAGAAGTTCAATCAAGCATCTCCTGGCAAACAGAGACTATTTAATCTACTTAAGACTCTTGTTACCCTAACATTTTCTTCTTACAGTTTGCCACAGGATTCTCATCATGCCATTTCAGCAGGAAGTAATCTTGAGAATACTATGACCTCTTTCCCTACTGTAATATTGCAGTATAGTTACACATATTAATGTTAGTTTTAAATTATTTAGGGTTGCTATTAGAAGGAGGTGTTCAGACTTGGCATCTCTTTCCAATACGTTTAGGATTCAGATGGAATAGATAGGCTTAGTTTAGGATATAAATAGATTCTAATTTGCTTATCACCTTCTATGTATACATGCTGTATATGTTTGAGCTTTGCATCAAGTTTAAATCTCTTATTTAGACTAAAAGGGTAATTGTAAGGGAAAGATCACATACTCAAGAGGGGTTCATGGGACAGGTAGGAGATAAAAGGAAAAGGGAAAGCAAACTTCTTTCTCTTGGATCCTGGTCACTGCAAGGGCATTGTCGCTCTTCTCAGTAAGCAATTTCTATATTCAATAAAATATCTTAGACCTCCTTTTCAGGTAGCATTATTTCCATCATACATTTAGTAAATATTCTCGAAAATCTTCCAGCTTTCTCACAGAGAATCACTACATCCACATACTAATTATAGGAGGCTGTGCAAGCATCTACCACATTGTGTCCAGGAGGAGGATAGGGGAATGCCTATGGAGTTCAGGAAAATAGCAGAGTTTGCTATTGGAGCCAGGAGCAAATGCTGTGGAAACATAGATCTCTGGTGACCTATATAGGGTCATTTTCTGAGGTAGAAGGCAGGGGTCAGCAACTATTGTACTGTGTCATTATGCACATAGTAACCCTATGGGAGGTGAGCTAATCACTGAGTCCTTACTAGCCAATCAGGGCCCTAGGAAACCTGCCTGTTAGAAGTGGTGCAGGGCTTTCTGGATGATGGCTTCTGTCTTGAAGAGAAACTAGTGCTAGTGTGCTGTGATTTGAGCTGGAAAACAAAAACATGGTGAGCAAGGGGCTGCTGTCCCCAGATGAGGTGTGGCAGATGGTGAGGTGCTGAATCTGGTGTGTTGGGTATTCCCTGGTCAGGGTGGGAGGCTGCAGCCACACTCCCTGTCCTGTGATGTTCAATGCACTCCTTGAAATACCCTGGATCCAGGGGCAGGTCTCTCAATACCTTTGCTCTGTGGGCTGAGTCTGTTCTGAGCATTTGGAGTAGGGAGTTGTGTGTAGAAACTTTTCTAGTCAAATCCAGCACACTTTTGGTGCACCCATGGAAAGCACGTCACCAAACTTGAAGAGTACTTGTCTCTTCAGTACCTTCTAGGAGTTCAGTACTAATAGTAAATAATAGTATATTTACAATTTACATGTAAGATGCATTTATTGTTAATTATGTAGAGATTATAAAAGGCATCTCATGGATAACACTTGACTAATAAGCTGTGATGTAGAAGAGTAAATGTGGTAATACAAAGGAATTACAGTTGTTTAGGAGATTAAGTCTCACAAAATAGAATTCAGCTGAGGGAGAGCTCCCTCTAAAACATCCAAAGATAAGTATATATAAGCCTGTAAGAGAAGAATATGGGAGAATACACATTTGTTCCCATGATTTTCTAGACATTTGTCTCCAAACCATTACATATGACCTACCCCTGACTTGAAAACAGGCTCTAGGTCCATCCCCATCTCAAAAAAGCAGGCCTGTACCAAGCTTCTCAAGGAGGCATTACAGGGTCACAAGCAACCTTATGGCCTGGTGGGCCATAAAGTTCCAGGTTTTTTTTTTGAGGAATATGTACTTTTGCCAGATGGGCAATAGTATACCAGGTGACAGTTATTTGAAGATTAAAACACTGTTTTGTTAAGGATTTGCCTGATCAAGGGAGACTTTCACTTAGGCCACAAATTTCACTTTCCATGTTTACATAATGTTATACAAAGTACAGTGTAAAGTAGCAACTGTATGTTTTAAGCAAGATACATTTGAGTAAGATAAGTCATGAGCTGGCAGGGTTACAGGGGGGGGTCACTGGGTCTTTCAGTTATCCCCTGGGCCAGGCTGTTTTTAATTAGGGAATAAAGACAGGCACGATATTTGGAGCACAATCCATGGAGAGCATATTAATCATAGTTTACTATAGCCAGACCAAAAGGGGGGAGACAGACATAAGAGAGACAGTAAGGTAAGAGAGAAGAGGAGAAGGATGATGAGAGTAAGGAGAGATGAGAGAGGATGAGGGAGAGGTTGAGAGTAAGGGAAGATGAGAGGGGGGATGAAAGAGAGAGAGCTTAAGTGTGCAGGGGTCTCTGCATTAAAGGGGTCCTTTGCACCTGCGTGAGGACTGCTTCTCATGGAACTCTGGGCTGGCCAGAGTGCTGCCTGAGTGCCTTCTGCCAGGTAACAGGGCAGGCCAGCGTACTGACTTAACCTTGCACAGGGGACTGTTACAACTGGCATGGGACCTTTAGGACCAGCAATTAGCAAAGGAATGTTAATAGGAGTGGTGGACAATTACCTCCCCTTCTCTGAGAGCAGGTGCTCAGATGCCAGCCATGGCACTCCATGGAAATTTAAGGAGTTAAATTTGCCTTACCATTAGAAGTTGCCTTTATCTTCATAGGTTGAGAGCCCAAGTTTTTACACTTTTATTCATTTTAAGTTTTGGCCCATCACTAGTATGGTGGACTGTAAAAGCTAGCTACTCACATTATTGTTATGGTGGAAGCTTCATTCTAACCACTGGATTCCATATACCCAAAGAGTCTGAAGTACTATGGTAGAGATTCCATCCAAGTCCCCCTCCCCCATCTTCTTCCAAATCCTGCTTCATCTCAGAAAGCAAAATAATGACAAACAATGACCCTTCACTAGAGATTCTCACTGATACTCCCACAGGATACTTAAACAGTCCCCAGAGAGCTGACTCATGTTTTCTTTTTTTAGGTCTCCCATTCCCATCTCCTTTCTGGTGGCCTGGAAGGCCATCCAGGAGGACTGTATCCATTAAATGTGAGCTTTTTCTCTTCAGTTTGATGTGGTCTGAATTGGATTGCTGCATCCTCAGTGAGGTACAAACTATTCAGTTGTATCTCTGAGGACAAGGGGAAGTTCCTATGGAGACCAGGAAGATAGCAGGTCTGCAACCCGAGCCAGGGGCCAGTGCTATTAAATACATATCTTTGCAGATCTGGAAAAGATCTTTTCCTTTACTGTGTCTTTAAGCACACTCTAATCCTGTGGGAGGTGCTCTTGTCACTCAGTCATCACTATCCAATCAGGCCCTCCATGTAAGCTTCCAGTCAGAAGTGGTGCAGGGCTCTTCCTGGCACCAGGCTTCAGGCTTGGCTTTGAAGAGGAGCCAGTGGTTTTATGTGCTCTGGTGCAGTTGCTGCAGCAGGGAGCTGATCTGAGAGCTTCAGTTATCTGGGAAACCACAACATGGTGAGCTAGGGGATGCTGTCTGCAGATGGGGAGGAACAGATGGGGAGTTGTGGAATACAGTGTGGTGGGTCCTCCCTGTATCTGCGTGAAAAACTGTGGTCAGACCTGTGAAGTCCTATGCAGTCCTTGTAAATTCTTCAACCTACAGGGAGGTCTCTCAATATCTTTACGTTATGGGCTTAATTTGGTCAAAGCATTGGGAGCAGGGAGATGTGTGCAGAAACAACTTTCTAGTCAAGTTCAACATTCTTGATGTATATGTGGAAACAGCTTGCCTAAGGCACAGGCGCCTAACTTTTCTAGCATTTTCTTGACATTCAACACTTTGTATTTAATATTTACATGTAATCTCCACCTATACCTATTTTTGTGCAGGTTGTCTAGAGTCATCTCATGTGTTGGGAAACAGTACCTATTATGCCTTAATGTAGAAGAGTAGAATTGGTGACATAAAGAATTTACCAATGCACCGGGCATTGGTGGCGCACGCCTTTAATCTCAGCACTTGGGAGGCAGAGGCAGGCGGATGTCTGTGAGTTCGAGGCCAGCCAGGCCTACAAAAGCTAGTTCCAGGACAGCCTCCAATGCCACAGAGAAACCCTGTCTCGAAAAACCAAAAAAAATTTACCAATGCTTAGGAGACAATCTGTCTCCCTAAATACAACTGAGCTGAGGGAGGACTGCCTCTGAAACATCCAGAAGATAAGTGTTAGCCCCCAGCACTCACAGTGTCTCTGTGATCTTCATTTCAGCCAATTCCCACAGGTGCATCCTGTTTTCTAGTCCTGGATTACAGCCCCAGCCTTGTCCCACTGGCATCAACCTCTAATTATGAAAACGTGAACTCTTCCACCTAGGGGTTTTCCACTGTGCTGTAAGTCTATATATAAGGCTGCTCCCCCATTGCAATAAAAAGTCAGTCAGACAGACAGACAGACAGACAGACACACACACACACACACACACTTATCACAAAGGGACAGAAGTCTTGTCTTTCATTTAAATCTCCAGGCTTTCGCTGAATACATTAGACTTGCTCATGGCTCAGCTGCAACAGACACGTGTGTGCTAACCAGCCATGTGTAGATGCTAGGATACGCATTTGTGCACCAGGATGGTAACATGTGACTCCAAACCATTACAAAGAAACCACCACTGATTTGCAAACACCCACTAGGCATATCCCCATATCAAAGAACAGGCCTGTAACAGGTTGCTCAAGGAGGCACTACATGGTCAAAACAAACCTTAAAATCTGGTGTTTCTTAAACTTCTAGTTGTTTTTGTTGTTGTTGTTGTTGTTGTTGAGAAAAGCATTGTTTTGCCAGGTGGGCAATATGACACCAGGTGACAATTATTTGAAAATAAAACACTTTTGTGTTAAGAACTTACCTCATCAATTCAGGCTTTTACTAAAAGCCTTAGGCTGGGAGGAGGAACATTTTTGGGAGAGTTAGTGACAGCCTGGGTCCTAGGACCTGGGGGATTTCCCTAAGGGCCTGCTGTATTGACATAAAACATAGTTCCTACTCTAAAACCTGCATTATGTGAGGGAGAGCTGGTAATGGTCTTGGGCCAGGGACTTTTGGAAGGCTGACTTCACATCTTGAGAACCCAACTCTTCCCACCATATGAAGCGAATGGTGTTTGTCCTAAGGCCACTGTGTTTTTAGTCATTAATGTTCTTGAGATACCCCATTTCCCCTGTGTGGCATTGTTTGAATAGACTCCTTCTGAATTTCTCCCATTATATGATAGCTTTTGATGACTTAATTTAATTCCCCCAACTGCTTCCATCCTCCCACCACATTTAAGTAGTATAAAAGATGCAATTCTTCTTATGAATCTTAGTTGGTCTGGGGCATATCCTCTGCAATACCTCTCCAAACTAGTATTTACCTTTTCTACCTTCTTCTTGTCCTATCTTTCATATCCTCTATGACCTTCAACTCAGGACCCTGTCTCTGAAGAATGATCTGTTGTTTCCTGTCAATGGTGTACTTAAGAAAAGATTTAGAAATATCCTTGCTATGTGATTGTATTTTACTTAACTGCTGGAGTCCACTTCTAAGTACTGGTATTTTTCTGGATTATTGTGTTTATCTTAGGAAAAAAAGTATGAGAAACCCTTAATTTGCTATAATGCAAGACTCTAGTCTCTGGAGCACATGACCATAAAGCGTGTTTCAACTTTTCAAAATAATTTTTGAAATTATAAATGCATTATATTCACATTGTCTTTTCTGACTCCAAGCCCTCTCATTAGCCCATTGTTTTCTAACTCCTGGCCTGTTTTTCTTTAACTCAGTTACAGTGTAATAACAGTTACTCTGCAAATGTGGCCTGTGTTTGGTTGCAGAATTTCACAGCTCTGTGGCAATGGGTTTGCTGCACTGGACATTGAGTGTGTGTAATGGAATGTGCATACAAAGGACCATGTGTTTGGATGAGGAACAGGAAGTGCTGTACAAAAGAGGAGGAATCTCCACTAAAATACGAGCTTTCCTGACTTTGGCTCTGTCTACTGTGTTGTCTGAGTCATCTGATCTCTGATCACCCAGGAGGGAAAATGTTAATGTGAGTCTAGCAGGGTGACCCTAGCCGATATGGGGTTCTGAGAATGGTTAGCAGTCAGGAATACTACTGGTAGGTAATTTTGGGGTTCTTTCCATGGTTCTCTTCTGTCTTTGCTGAAATGAGTTTTAGGAAAGATTATAAGTTATACCATGGTGAGTGTATCACGTCAGAGCCAGTCTGTTGAACTATCATTTCATTTATGTATTTAGTTAGCTACTATTTGTTTGTTTTTCAAGACAAGGATTCCCTGTGTAATAGTCATGGGTGCCCTAGAAATAACCATGTAGACCAGACTGGTCTGGAGCTCATTGAGTTCTGACTGCCTCTGCCTCTCAAGTGCTGTGATTAAAGGCATGTGCCACCACCACTCAGTAATCTTTCAACTCAGCTGGGACTTGAATGAACCATGAATCAGACTGTAGTATTGTTGGGCTCTATGGTGACCTAGGCAGTGACTTTTGTTCTCTGTGCCTCCCAGTATGGATTTACTGGGTAATGGGAGACTCTGTAGCCCTGGCATGGAAGGATAAAATTCTTGCAGTATCTCTGTCTAGTGTTCACATATAGTCACTCATTTTGGTTGCAATGGGAAGACAGATGAGAAAACAGAAGGTCTGGTCTCTAGGTCTGAATATTGCATTCCATTACAGGTTTGTATTATAAATATCGCAAATAGTTCTTGAACTTGTGGGAAAATGGTGATGTGGATCATCTTTCACCAATACATGATTACAATGTTTGGAACTTGGTAGTGCAACAAACCACAATGGTGTGATTCAGTGAAGTTCAGTTCCAGGAGAGAATAGGAGTTTCTGATGTGCAGAGATTTCTCAGGTGTGTCTGGTGTTGGGCAGGTAGATAGGGCAGAATCCATGTTTTATGCTATAATCTATGTGGCAGGACACAGATTTTAAATAATTTGTCTATGTTGTTTTGTCATTGAGCATCAGTGGGGCTGCATTTACCTGAAACAAGGAGTTACTAGTTGCTGCTGATCCATAGCAAGAGATCACCTCTATTTCTCGGGAGAGCTCTAGAGCATGGGGCTTCTTTCTTTGGAGAAATATCAGTAGCTCGAGGGTCAGAAGCAACAGTACAAGATCACTTGGAGAAAATTTGAGGAAAGTTGGCAAGTCTGTGTCTATTTAGTTTCTTATACATAGAATTATAGGGAGCTGGTAACATTGGTCAGGATCACAGTTTTCGTTTCTGAAGTTTTCTTTGGTCTTTTGATTACAAGTTGAATTTATTTTTCCTGCCTTATTTCTTGACTTCTTCTCACCAACCCCTTTATTGTTTCAAAAATATTTTGCTCATTTTTGGTTGTTGTTTCTTTGTCCCAGTATTGACCTCATGTTATGCGAACCTATGTTCTGCTTTTATATAAATGTAATCAAATTATATCATTTTCTTGAAAATGATGGACCTTCACCAATTTGTCTTCATAAAATTTCTTATGTTATCAGTTCCTACGGGTTGTGTTTTTTTGGGGGGGGGAGAAGTTGCTGTGGAGAGAGTTTCAGTTGGTTTCTTCTTTATCATAGATGCTTGCCTCTTCCCATTTCCTGGCATATCTGTGTTTTTCAGTTGCTGCTATCTTCATGTTTGAGTCTTTGCTGCTTATGTGATTGATGTGATTAATACACTGGCTTTGGATTTTTAATACCTCATGCTAATGTCTCTGCCTACTAATTAGCCTCAGGCATTGACATTACAAAACCCAGAGTCACCTGAGTGAACATCAGTGGTGTTCTTAGATCAGAATGTCTGATTTCTGCCTGAAAAAAGATTGTGTTGACTGATGATTGATGTGGGAGGAAGACTTCCGCTTGAGTTGGCAATGTCTCAGAGCAAGTGCGCCGGGCTGGTAAAGAGAGCTAGCTGAGGAAAAGACAGTGACAAAGCAAAAGAGCAAATCAAGAAATAATGGTTCCACATGTTTTACATTCAGTCATTATCTTGAGTTTTTCTCCTAAGCACCCACAATGATAGACACTGACAAAGATGTAACAAGGAAATCAGTTTACTACCTGAGTAAATTTTACTGAGATAATTTTTTTTCTGGTTTTATGAGACAGGATCTCTCTGTATTGTTTTGGAGGCTGTTGGTCCAGCCTGGCTTACTGAGATAATTTAATCAAAGCAAGAGAGAAGAATGTTAGAACAAAAAGTGGTACTTAAAAAGAGTTTTTTTTTTTTTTGCTGTAATGGACATGGGAATGTTGACTTTTGGAAGAATGTTGAAAATATCAAGACTTTAAATGGCAAAAGCCATAAAACTTTTCCAGTAGCAGTTGTTGTAGGATATGAAAGATGGGAATGTTGAAAGTAATGGCAGACACTGAAGGTCAGGGTCAGGATTTTAGTGGGTAAAAGGCTGTGCAGGCCACCAAGGAGTTTTCCTGTCCTACCTGCCTTGAGACACATGTGTCATAGGATATTCAGGCTGAAGTTCATGGCTGCTGGGAAACAATGTGCCTTCCAATTGCTGATGAAATGATGCCCTCCATCAGGTAGTGAAGCATTCAGGCTAATTTGTATTTCACCATTTGTTCTCATGGTAGTCAAGCAAGTGTGTGAGCATTTTTTTTTCCTTTTTTTGGTTTTTATGAGACAGGGTTTCTCTGTATTGTTTTGGAGGCTATCGGTCCAGCCTGGCCTCAAACTCACAGAGATCCACCTGCCTCTCCCTCCCGAGTGCTGGGATTAAAGGCGTGTGCCACCAACGTCTGGCTAAGTGTGTGAGCTTAACAAGAAAATTGTTCTTGGATATTAATCTTGTATAATCTGTATGGCTTGCAATTTTCATGTTATCCTGTAAACTACAACCGTATTGATCCTGGAAATTGCCACTATCATCTGTTTCTGATGAAAATATAAAAGGTTTGATTACTCTCAATAAAAAAGTCATATCCTTGTCTTTCTGTGTCCCTTTAGGACAAGCCTGACTTCATTCCTGTTTGATTGTATTAGGTGATCTTGGCCTGGTAAGTAAGTACAGGTACTTAGATGATTTTGTGAAAAATTCATCTAGAGTTCATTTGTGTGATATTTTTGTCCCAAATCTTTCTAAATTTTTACATGTCACAAGAAAGTGAATAAGGCTGAGTTTCACAGTAATGGGCTGATGTCTTAGACAAAATATTGCTTTTGTTGGATGGTTATTACTGTTGACTCCTTCAGGTCTACAGTGAAAGGGACACAAATAGGAGGGAATGAAAAGTCTCAGTTTTGTTAAGAAAAAGAACATTCAGTAGTTTCAGATGGCAGTCTAGTAAAGGAAATAGACAGCAATTTTCAAGGTTTTTAACACCATAAAATAAAAGGCCTTCCTCTGCATTTGAAGCCTGGGAAGGTGACACAATTGTTAGTCTCTATTCAGCTAAGCACTTAACTTATGGAAGGAGTACACAAAATAATTCTTGTCTCAAAAGCAACATTATAAAAAAATAGAAAATTTCTTCCAATCTTGGTAGGTTCCATCAAATCATGGCAGAATGTTTTACTGATTATGGAAAAAAGGAAGATGCAAATTGTAAAGATGAAGGATTCCTCTTCTGTGGTCAGTTCTTCACTATTGCACACATCTGTGTTTGAGACAGCCAGTGCTCCAGTGAAGAGATTGTGAGAGTTCATTGCATGAAGCAGTGAAGATGCAGCTGGGTTGCCTTTGAGACCACAGGATGCTGAGACATCCAAGCCATGAGACACCTGCCAAGGAGACCTTCATATAGCGAATGGAAGTAGCAAAAGTTTGAAGTAGATGAGAAGTTTCTGGGTGTTGTGTGGTATTTTGATCATATTTTGAAAATAAGCTCAGCTTGCTGGACATCAGACAGCTGAGCTAGCCATTAGCTGACCAAAGAATACCATAGACATTTGGAGGACTGTGGGAAGATGGGAGACTGGAAGTTGTAAGGTGGGGCTGATACAGGACTTTGCATTTTTTAGATAAAGGAAGGGAAGAGTCAGGAGTCACTGGTGGGTGCTCAAGTGATTCTCTGATCTTTCAGGTTCTGACCCCTAGATTTGACTTCTGATTTTTTCTTGATGAAGATTACTTATGTTAACACATTCTGAGGATCCTTACAAGATATGCTTAATAAGCAGAAAGGGGTAATTAAGACTGCCAGAAGTAGATTAAATAATACATTATTAACTTGACATGCTTTAAATGCTACTGAAAAGAAAACAAGTACATTGGGAGATATTAGATAAAAAATAAACTCCTAAATTAAAGCAATCTGTACACTTTAACAATGTGTTTAATTCAGAATAAAAACCAAAAAAAAACCCTACAAAGGTTAAGTTGAGGCAGTATTCTGCTTTGTCTTTACGAAAACATAAAAATTTCCAGCAAAGGAATGTAAGGAACACTGATGTCATAGGGTTGGTTCTAGGACTGTGTCTCATAGGCAAAAGTAAGTGAGTGATGTCACTGGGTTCTGCTTTTCAGTGACAGTTTTGGATGTAGTAGTGTTACTATTTTTACATGTCTAAAAGACGTTTATTTACTATGCTCATTAGAATTATGCTTCTGATTCACATATATGTTTGCCCATTAATAGCAAAAAATATACCAGAATGCCTTGGGAGTAATGATGGTATGACTTATCTTTAAGCACCTGAAAAAATGGGAAAATAAAAGATTAACATGTACAAGTTATTGGAACCAAAGTTGTTAAAACAAGTATCTCAAAAATATAGATATCTCAAAAATATAACTGATATTTAAAAAGTTCCTCCCTATTCCCCCACCCCCATCCAATTCAAGGATAAGGAACAACATTTTCATTATTCCCACATTGGGATAGATGTAAGCTGAATACTTCATGCAATCTGTTATGGGGCCTTATGTACGCCCCATCAAAAATTTCATGGTCTAATAAATTCTGATGTAAAAACAAACTTACACTTTTAGTCTTTCTCAGTAGGATGATTTCCTTCTTTACTCACACAGAAAGAAATGTCATACTTCTTGTGAACCTAAATGCTTATTGACCTGTGGTAGTCTGAATGTAATTGGCCTGCAGAAGCTCATAGGGAATGGTACTCTTAGGAGTTGTGGCTTTGTTGCTGTAAACTTGGCCTTGTTGGAACAAGTGTGTCACTTTGTGGGTGGATATTGAGATCTTATGTATGCTCAAGCTATCAACCATATCCCAGACCTCTTGCAGTTGCCAATGGGTCAAGATGTGCAATGAACAGCACCTTCTACAGCAGCAAGTCTGCCTGCATTCTACCATGTTACAACTTGATGATACTTGATAAAACCTCTGAAAATGTAAGCCACCCCAATTAAATGTGTTTTCTTTAAAAGATCAGCCATGTACATGGTGTCTCTTCACAGATATAGAAACCCTAACTAGGTCATTACATGATTCATTAACCTTTAGAGAGGAATTATGAAAATCACTGCCAAATTTACTTTAGAGATGATTATATCACATATAGGCTCACATACTTGCTCACCATGTTATATTCATAGAAAACCTAGTATTCAATTATAGTCATTCTTTATTTCATGCAACATAAAATAACAGGTATTTAACTCAATGTGTTGATAGCACAATAAATAATATTATGATCATTTATCAACAACCACGTTTTATTTTTTTGATCCAGGTAAAATTCAAAATAGAATGTTATTACAAAAAATTTCAACAGTATACTTGGAAGATTTATAACTATTTACCAAAACATTCTTAAAAATTCACTGGATTAATGGTAGCTGAAAAATTACTTTAATAGGCATTGTTTCTGCTTCCAGGTTTGGAGATATAGCATTAAACAAAATGTGCAAATACCTCAATTAAGGGATAAGCTAGCTAAAATATATCTGAATTAGAAAAAAGTTCAAGAAAATATTGATTCTGAGTTAATGGGATGAATTTGTAGAAGAAAAACCACCTTGGAGTATAAACAGTATAAAATGTCTCCCACTTTCAGTTCTCTTGTAATTTAAGTAAATATGCAAACAATTATTTGGAAGCTTAATTTCTATAGAAAATGGTCATGCTTTGAAAAATGAGCTAATGCTATAGAATGAACTGTTTACCAGAATGTGTTTTAAAATATTCATTATATATTATACATTAAACTACATACAGAATGTCATGCTAGCTATAGCTTTCTTATGAGGCCTTTTCTCAAGCAACAGGGCAAACTTATATTCAACTATATTTGTGTGTGTGTATGTGATATTGAAAAATGTTTTACTATTATGTTCACTATGTAGTGCAAATTGGCTTGAATTCAAGGAGATCTTACAGTTTCTGCTACCATACTCATCTATATTTATATCTGAAAATAATTTGACACCCACCACTGGTAGACAGCAAAAATGATTTTAAGAAAAATTTGTCCTGTACCTCGGAACCTCTTCTGAAATTAAACTGGAACACTTCAGTATATTTTGGTAAAGCATTTCAGGATGAGTCGATGATAATCAGAATTGAAATTTTATTTTGAGACAGGGTTTCTCTTATAGTTTGCAGTCCTTGAACTCACAAGGGAGATGAGGTTGGCACCAAATTCACAGAAATTTGATCATCACTGTTGCCCAAGTATTGAAATAAAGGGTGTGTGCCAAACCATCCTATTTCAATTTTATTATTTATTTATATATATGTCTGTATGTATATGATTCTTCATGTGTGGAAGTGTGCATGTGTGTCATGGTTTGTGTGCAACTATCAGAGAACACTTTTGGGTGTTTGTCTTTATAGTTAGCATGTTGGAGACAGGGTCTCTAGGTTGCTATGCCACATAAATGGACTTAGCAGAATTTCTTCTGTCTGCATTTTATGTGTCATCAAAATCATTGGATTACAGGGATGTAGTGTAGCAACTGATTTAGAATGAAAAAGTAAAGGGATAGATGAAAGGTGAGTACTTTATCTGTTAAACAATTTTCATAGTTCTAAAGTTTATTAAGTACAAAATTTTGGAGTGAGTCTGTTTTGAGACAGTCATTTCTAACCCTGTGTGGCCTGAAACCCAATATGAAGCAGATTAGCTAGGCCTGGAACTTACAGAGATCACCTGTTTTGCCTCACATGAAAGCACATCAATAAAAAGACATTGTTATCATGGATGTAGTACACATATTAGGGAAGAAGGTATTTTGGTAAATGTGATCTAGTGAGGGTGAACCACACTGAAGAATTGATAGAAAGATATATGACAGTTTTGTTAACATTGTAAGTTATATTTTAATGTGTTCTTAGGGAGTCCCCTACTTTCTGTATTTATGTATGAGTTTCTATTTGTATATGTCTCACTTTCTACATCTATTTGTCTCTGTCTCTCTTTCTCTTTCTCTCCTTCTCTTTGGCAATGTGATCATAGGTCAGTTCCTTCTTAGACTTGGCTGGGATTCTGATTTAATAAGGTAAAAACAGGGGTCAGAAGACTTCTGCATTGACTTCCTCCGCTGCCAGGAGTAGCCATGGTGGCCATGAGCCTGTTGCAGCGGGCTTCGGTCGCCACATGGACAGCGCTGTCTGGCCGGCATGCTGGCACTAGACTCGGGGTCGGAAGTCTTCTCACACGTGGGGACCATGGCAAGAGACTGTTCATCATCAAGTCTTCTTCATTCTGTGACAATTGCTTTTTAAGGTTACTGAAATTCTACATCTTGTTGACTGGGATTCCAGTTGAAATTGGCACAACGCTGGTAAACATATTTATTGGTGAAGCCGAACTTGCAGAAATCCCAGAAGGCTACATCCCAGAACACTGGGAGTATTACAAGCATCCAATATCAAGATTGATTGCCAGAACTTTCTATAATTCTCCCAAAAAGAAATATGAGAAGACCATGGCTATCCTCCAGATTGAATCTGAAAAGGCTGGATTATGGATAAAGGAGTTTGAAGTTCCAAGACTGATGCGTGCCCATGGTGACGGACCCTGGTTTCAATATCCAACGCTTGAGAAGGAATTCATTGATCATTTTCCAAAAGCAACGCCTAACAACTAGTCGAAGGAAATGAATAAATAGTCTGTATTTTGACTCTGATGCACACAAGCTCTTGTGGCTGTTTCTCCATGTGGCTCAGTTCCGTGGGGGCTTTTAGCTGTGCTGTTGATATTTACGGGGTAGTAATAACAACTGGAGATCTGTGACACCGTTGCTAAGCTGCCGAGTCTTTGTCTGGCAGGTAGAAGTTCATGGGTACTGTCAACAGTCAGGACCTGTAGTCATCTGTGCTGCATTGCAGATGGGGTTATTCGCCACTACTTGGAGTTTTAACTTTCATGAGAAATGCAGAATAACCATATGAAAAGTTAGTTCCAAAATAAACAAATTGCAGTGAACTACTTTTAAAGTTAAAAAAAAGAACACTTCTGCATTATGCCTTTTGCTATATGAGGTTCACAATTCTATCATTATAATCCTCACAAAATGGCTGATTACCTCCTGGAAAGGTAAATCCATACTCAAAAGGTATGACATCAAACATGCCTCATTGGTATTTGAGATATCAATAAATTAAGAAAGCTTTCTCTGTATACTCAGAAAATTACATCAATTTTGTGAGGTGCTTAATATTGGTTTTTAACTAGATATGATATATATTCAGTCAAGGGACCCTTCTCCAGGCACAACTGTGAGGGCTTTTCTAAATCATATCATTCTCTGTGGTATGTTTCTGAGACATGTTCATTGACATGAGAATATTTTTCCGCCTTCCAAAAATGATAGCACCATTCCAGTTCATGTCATTGGTAATGGATTATGTAATAAGGACCAACATTTATCATTCTCTGGCTCTTGACTATGAATACACCATGTTGAATGTTAATAGTGGAACAACATTTACTAGGGTGAAGGAATAGAAATTGCCCTTGCTAGCTATCTGGTTATAACCCAGACTGTTTTGGAGATTGCAGGGATTTTTCTCCCTTAATGTCTTGAGTGGCAATACAAGATTGAAGGGCTCATAGAGTGTTGAAGACTGTAACAGATTTGAAACACCTTCAGAGAGGGCCTGAGAGAACACTCCTTGCAGTGGACACCTGAAGTTGTGGTAGATTCTGGAACCACAGGATAACCAAGGACAACTATGTGTAGAATAATATAGTCATGCTAGAAAAGCTCCTTGTGCTAGGGATGGCACAGTCTGAAACATGGAATTTTTCTATTCCATGAGGGTCCAGAATAATATTAAAAACAGGATCATAGATTCCTGAATTCATTGCCTTAAATGTGATTGGTTAGTTGATATTCCTTGTTCTTCCGTTTTTGATAATAGTGGGCAGTTACTTACCTTTTTCACATAATGTACACTTAAGATAGTGTAGACAATTTAAATGTTGGAGTTTTAAATGCTATAAGATTTCATAATTTGAAAACATTTTATATTATGATAAACATGTGACTTTGGATTCTATGGAGGGAACATGTTGTTTGATAGGGGTATGCCTTAAGGTTTTGAATCAAATGAATATTTCTCCCCAAATTACTTTGAATCAGATTATTTTATCCACTTAATAGATGGAGACTAATGCAATTCCCTGTTTGCTGTTCAAAATGGAAATCACCTGGAAATCAATTCCTGGACATCTATAAGGCCTCCTAATGAAGCACATTTCATCGAGCTTTTTGAAATACAAGAATGAGTATCACTCTGCATCAGTAATATGTAATCCTTAGTGCTCTCTATTACATCAGACCTGCAACCATTCACATAAAACCAACAATCAACACATTAAAGGAGTTGTCTGCATATATCAGCATACGCATCCATACATACTTCATAAGGAATAAGTTGGAACAAAGTATTTGAGAAGGAATGGAATAAAGAGAAAAGTGGAAACTGGTCCAAAAGTTATAGGTCATAGATTCTTCCCTTGTGGTTTCAGTTCAACACTGTTGGAATCTGGCAGAGTTTGAAAACCAGTGAATGGACTGTGAGAGTTGATTGCATGAAGCTGTCAGGATGAAGCCAGTGTTGTATTTTGAGAAAATAGGATGTTGAGATACAAAAACAATGGGAGATCTGCCAAGGAAAGCTGATCACAAGGATAAGAAATAGTAAAGGAGAGACATGTCTGACAATTTGTAGGAATAGAGCTATCTAAGGCTGTTGAGAATGATACCCTACCTGTGCATGGTAGACCTACAGGATTTGCTGGTTTCCCTGATGAGCTTTAGTGCCTTGGTTCAATCTTCTCCCACTGTGCCAATATTCCTTTCTTTATCTTTTAAATTTATTATTCTCTCATAAAATATGTCCCATCTGCAATTTCTCCTACCTCCACTCATCTCAGTCCTCTCCATTGCTCCCCTCTCCACCTGGTCTTCTCCACCTCCATTTTCCTTCAGCGTAGATAATATATCCAAAGATATCAACAAAAAACTGCATAATGAATTACAATTTGACAAGAATCAAACTCTCCTATCAAGGCTAAATGCAAACTAGTAGGAGGAAAGGCATTCCAAGAGCAGGTGAGAGTAGGAGACACTCACCCACTTCCACTATTAGGAGTTGTACAAAAAACACCATGGTGTACAACAATAACAGAGGACACGTGTTGCTTAATTTTCTTGTCCTTCCAGGTATTGCTACCCTTCTCAGCCCCAAATAAGCACACATATAATATATTAATTATTAAACTGTTTGCTGTTTGCTAGAATTTCTTATTGGCTAGCTCTGATTTAGTTCCTAACACATTTCTATATATGTATGTATTTCCATGGCATTGGCAAACTGGAGAATGTCCAGACCTGTTGTTCCCTTACCAGCTACATCACATCTGTCTCTGGTGGATTCCTTCTGCCTACTGTTCCCAGAATTCTCCTTATCTCCTAGTGCCACCTATCTTCCGGACTCATTGGACAACCATTACTGGAAACATATATAAAGAAGGACACCCCATCAGAAATGGTGCAGTCCCCTGTGAGCCTCTATGATTCTGTTGACTGTGTACTTCTATGTCCTTTTTTATTTTAGTAAAATTTGACTATGAATTTTTTGAAAGTATTTTCTGAGACTTGGACCTGAATTTATTCTCCTTTTCTTATCATTCTTAATTTTGATGCTTTCATTTGTTGCAGATATCCTGGATGTCACATTTCAGGAAATTTTAGATTTAACATGTTCTTTGATCTAAATATCCATATCATAATGTGGACCTGCAAAGTCTGAAATTTGTTGTTATATTTCTTGTATTCTTTTGGTAAGGCTTGCCTCTGTAGGTTCTGTTTGATTACCTAGATTTTCATTTCCAGATTTCCTCAGTTGTCATTAATTTTAATTGCTTCTATTTTCATTTTCAGGTCTTCAACAGATTCTTTCATTTCCATTAGCTGTTTATTTGTTTGATTTTTGACTTTCAATAAGGGATTTATTAATTTTCTCCAGTATTTCAGTTATACTTTCGATGCATTCTTTTTTTTGGTTTTACTGAGACAGGGTTTCTCTGTATTGTTTTCGAGGCTGTCGGTCCAGCCCAGCTTCGAACTCACAGAGATCCGCCTTCCTCTGCCTCCCGAGTGCTGGGATTAGGGATTAATTCACTTAAACTTCAATCAGGTAGTGACATCTTGCTCTGGTGGTTGTTGGTTGTGCCCAGTTATATTCCTTTCAGTTGATTGTGGATCTAGGTGCTGATTACTCAGTTTTTCATTATTGGAATGTTGATTTTTCTTGACATTTATTTGTTCTCAGATCTTCTGATCTGTGTGGCCTATGGTTGAACAGGGATTCTTACACCAATATGGAGACTGGAAGTATTTCTGTAGGTATGGCATTTGTTCTAGTAGGGAGTATCTGCTAGAGTTTTAGGATGTAAAAAGAGAAAAGCAGAGAGAGCCTGGTGAAAGTATTCATGGCACATGGAGAGAGTGGATGAGTTCTGTGGTCATGTGACCACATATCTGAGCACAGAGTTTCCACTAAAGTTGGAGACTACAACACAGAGATGAGGAGGAAATTAGATTGTAAATGGTGTTGGGGGATAATTGAAAGAATGGAGGAGGTCCACAGGAAAGAAGCCAATGTGGATTTCAGATAGCTGTCATGAACTGTGGTCCAGCAGGTTGTCTAAGGCTCAGTTTGCCTACCTGTTCTCTCTAACTTGTTTGACCTGCACATGAGCAGAGGATGTTAATCCCATTTGTTGGTAGGAACATGGTTGGGGGGTGACAGCTAATAGGTTTTTGGGGAGCATCTGGGAATATAGGTAGTGTGGAAGTTTTCATGGGCTGGTGACCTGCTTTACCTGTTATTCAAGCTGGTGTGACATGCACATGAACAAGGGATGTCTTCCTGTGTTGGAAGCTGGAATGCAGCCATATTCCTCTTATTCTAAATGGGAATATATCCTGTGACTATCTATGTGTGTTGGAAAACCTTTATTTGTTTCTTGATTATATGAAATGTGACAGTCAAGAGATTATCCTGAGTGTCAGAAGAGAATTTGGAAATTAGTACTTATGGGGCTGTTAGAAGATATGAGGGTCAATGAACTTGGAGTAAATATTTAGCTTTGCCTACTTCCAATCTTTTCAGCCCTCTTTCTAATCTCCATTCACCCAAATCTACTTCTACTCTGTTTCCCTTCATGAAAGAATAGTACTCCCAGGGATATCATCCAATCACATCACAACAAGGTGCAATAAGATTAGGTGAAATCCCTATGCAAGGCTGGCCAAGGTAACTCAGTAGAAGTAAATTGTCCCAAGAGCAGGCAAAAGTATCAGGGACACCACAAGATCTACTGGTAGGAATCATACAAACACACCCAACTAAATGACATAACATGTTTGCAGAGGACCTGACACATAGCCATCCATGCTTCCTTAGAGTCACTTTAATTTCTCTGAGCCCCTGTGAGCCTTGCTCAGTTCATATTGTGGGCTAATTTCTCCTCTTTTCCTGCAAACCCTCTGGATCCTACAGTCCCCAGCCCCTCCTTCCACAGGATTCCTAAGCTCACATTAATGTTTGGGTAGGGATCTCGGCATGTGTTCCT